CTTTTTATTTATTTTTGCTGTATAAGTTATAATCAATCTTCTGACATAAGCTTTAGCCGTATCCCAAACGTTTTGTAGGGAAATTTCTTCTATTTTGTTCTCTTGAAAGAAAAACTCCATTTCCCTTGTTTCAATATATATTTATTTAATGTCCATCTAGGCAATTTTCGTGTTCCTTTCCAAGTCATAGGATTATGGTCAGCCCATACATTAGGGCCTAATTCAACTTCTAGCAGATCCACAATTCGACCTGGGGTCATCCACACCATATCGATTCTGGACCATGACCTGTGTCTATTTGAGTAAAAAGTGTATTTAGTTGTACATGTTTTTTTGTATCTCCAAGCACCTTTAAGTCTAAATTCCTCTGTTAGTTTAAAGAAGGATTTTGGAAGTATTCTTCTTCCTCTCTCTCCTTTACTACTACTCTTATAATCCATTTTTTTAAATCTACAATTGCGTTAAAATCTCCCAATAAGCAAATATTGTGGTAATCAGCTTGTACGAGTAGTCTATGTAATTTTTGGTAAAAAAATTCCTGTTGGTCATTAGGTGCGTATATTGCCACCAAAAGAGCCTTCTTTTATCGTTACCTCATCCATTAGAATTCTATCATCTTCATCTGAAAATGTGTGTTTAGGGTCCAAGTTTTCTTTTATATAGAGAGCCAGTCCCCTTTTCTTTTGCTGAGCTGAAGATATGAATACCTTACCAAGTTTTGAGAATTCCAAAACTTTATGATGTAGTTTTTTTACATGCATTTCTTGTAGGCAAATTATGTCTATCTTCAGTTTTTGGAGCTGTGACAATGTCCTTTTCCGCTTACAAGGAGAATTTATCCATTTATATTTACTGAAAGCATTTCAATTTTTCCCTCCATTTTAGTATTCATGTTTATATAATATTCATATTTATTTATATTTGGGCTTCACATTTCTAGCTTTCCTCTTTTCTCTTTGCTCTACTGGTTGTTCTTCTCCTTGTTGTTCTGGTGTTTCTGTTTCTTCCTCACTTAAAAGATGGGCGGTTGCTGCCTCCGCCTCTCCATTTTTCTTTTCCTCTTTCTTTTCTGTCAGTTCTCCGTCTTCAAAAGAGCTCCTAAAGTTTTCATAAAATTCTTGCACGTTAGGAGTTGTATTCAGTCTAAATCTTCTGGAGTTCCAGCTGAAAAGTATCCCTTGTGGCACCAACCATCTAAACGTAATTCCTTTCATTGTCAGCTTTGAAGTAAGGAATTGGCATTTCTTCCGTCCTTTCTGATTCTCCATGGGATCTGTTTCAAAGCCACTATCTGGTTTTCTCCATATTGTAATGGTTGTTCTCTCACCCTCTTGAGTATTTCGTCTCTTATTGATCTTTCTGTGATTTTGATATGAACTTCTCTGGGGAGTCTGTGTCTTCTCACATAGCTCAAATTTGCTCTATAAATCAAATCATCTTCTCTCTCCACTTCTTCCTTCTCCACATCAAGAACTTCCACTAACATTGTCGTTATTAACTCATTTAAGTCTTCATTTTTTTGTCTCTAGTATGTTCTGTAGTCTCAAATAATTAGAGGCTTTTCCATCTCCAATACAGCAACTTAGTCCCATAACGTCTTATTCACTTGTGTCAGATGTTGTACCTCTTTATTTATCTCTTCCACCTTCTTGTAAATAGTCTTGTTTACAGTCTCAGTCTTGTTTTCCACCTCTTGTATTTTTTGTTCATTCTGTGTTTTTATGTTGAATGTCAGCTAATTGAGCATTTATAGCAGCTATATGTCTATCCATTTTATCCAATTTCTCATTTCGTTCAGAGGCCATTTTTTGAGGCCATCCAATTTCTCATTTTGTTCAGAGGCCATTTTTTGAATAGACTCTTGGACTGCTTGAAGTGTTGTCTGTAACTCCTTTTGAAAATTGTTGAATTTATCTTGTTGGATCACCACATCCAGTATTTTTTGTTGATGAATGGGGCTGGAGGGTTCCGAAGAGGGGGCAGAAGATGAAGTAGCAGGCTTTTTAGAGCTCTTGTAAAGATTAGGGAAACTCATTATTAAAATCAAAATCAGTTTACAGATGAAAGATTAATTCAGTCTTACGTTTTACAAACCTTAAAGTATAATAGAATAATAATATAACTAAGTGTAAAGGCACTTAAGTCCCTGTTGAAATTTCAAATAACTACCACCGTTTCCCCCGCTTAGATAGCCTAAAATAATATTCAAATTATTTCCTCTTCTCCAGTTCGTATAATTACTTAATAACAATCCCCTTCCAGTTGATTCAACAAATAAAAAAGAAGGCACATTCAACACAAATAATGCAGTCTCTCCAGCCAAATAGTTCAAGTAGTTTAAATTCTTCTAACGTTCCAACACCTTCATTTATGTTCTCCACGTATTTGTAATCCACTAAGAGCCAAGGAAAAAGAAGAATCAACCATAAAGAATTATGTCCTAGGGATATCTTCACGATGTTTTGTATCAAACTAGAACTTATTTTCCATCACCATCCAAAGGCTAGGAAGCAGAGTTCAAATGTTTTCTCAGCGGCTTGCTGTAGGTCAAAATGGCCACAGGGTGGCAGCAAAGAGCTCCTTATTCTCATAATGAACGTCTTCCGTCTTCATAATAAGAATGTTTAAACAGTAACCGGAAATGATCCATCTGCCATTAGAGTCCAAAACGAAGAATTAAAACAAAGAAAAAAAGGGGCTTTTCCCTCAGATTGATTCAAGGCAAGCTTTGTCCCCTTGGGGAAGTTAAAACTCTGCTTTTCTACATATCAGTCTTTGCTCTTTTCAGTTAACCTCCCCCAAGTCCGTCGCCGCTTTTATTCACGGGGGGAGGGAATTCTCCTCCTCCTCCATTTCAAATTGGGCTCTTTGTGCAAGTTATTGCTTATGCCTGAGATTTCCTTTTAGGGGCTCAATTCTTAGAACGGGTATTAATCTCACCCAGAAGGTCCGGAGTCCAAGTTTTTTTCCGTGTTTTGCCGGGGCTGATGGCTTGAGAGGGTATTCACCTCATGTCCGCTCTCCGTGAATTCAGCGATTTGCCCGGTTCGAGTGTAGCAGCCACTGCTACTCCACGTACCAGGGCAGCTTGCTTCTTTGCCCACCTCCACAGGATGGTTATTCGGGCTCTCAAGCCCACTAGAGAGTGTATTTCAGCACGAAATACGGAGCCCCGTTTTCGCTGCCGATCTCACTGCGATGTATCCCGGAAGTCCCTGACATGTATGCATTCTTAAATGCATTTTCTTTCAAAGTATATGTTTTATCCCTTTTCAAAGGCTTCTGATATTTTCCATTGGTAAATGTGCAGAATTTGAAGTTACTTCATTGTGATCCTCACATAATTCTGCGAGATATGGATGAGGTCACCTTGCTTTAAAATATGAACCAAATATTTTAAAGACCAGGACCAGCCGTATAAATGGCACCCAGGTCCCCTTTTCCAATTATTCAGCTTTTGAATAGCATATCTATTCAAGTCTCTCAATTCCACTAAAAAATGGGACACCCGGATGGGCTGGAATTCAGTTACCTGTTTGCAAGTCTTTTCATGTATTCTCTATTGGTGCCAAAGAATAAAATGACTCACCTACCAAAGAGTCCACTGCAGAAGAGTCCCTGGACATTTAGAAATAAGCATCTGGATTTGCACTAAGCTTAACAGATGTGGAGGTTTATTTATAGTGTGCGCCTTGCATGCAGTTACAGGTAACTCCATCCTCCTAGAATCACCTTTGTCCCTCTAGTCTAACGTACTCTGAAGACTTGGCCTAGAGCAAGGAATGGATCTGCCACAGACAGGACACTCCTGTGCTTCTTCGTCCGATTCCTGACCAGAAGAAAATCAGCTAGCAGAGATGATTGGAGAAACAGAAATGGAAGGGTAGTCAGGATAGCTTCTTCTGCTTCATATTTGCATAAGGAAAGCACTGAGTGATCGACTCACACTCCACACAGAGCTGTGACAAAATTACCTGCTCCTGGTAGAGGCTTAAATGAATCCCTTAAGTGTAAATCATGCAGCGTTTCAATGGGAAACTTCTTCTGGGGACAGAGACTTTGTGCTTTTAATGATAATCCATAGCAAGTGTGTGGCCACTGCACAGAACAGGCGGGTATGCGGCTACTGCCCAGGCTCCCATGAGCCCCTTGGTTCACTTGTCCAGCGTTTTCTTGGGCTGAGCAGAAGCCGTGACAGCTTGGGTACCACAGCCACTCTCAGATGGATGGCCTTCTTCAGTATGTTGGCTTTGCCAGCTGTCTCAGGTAACCCCTATGCCTAAGCTTGTCAGATAGCTTATAATACAACCAATACATTACACAAAGCAAACCTGTTCACCTAAGTTCCACATAGGGAATTTGGTGACAATTGGATGCTTTTTTCTTTTTATGTTAGGGTCCTCACAATATTTTTATACAACAGGTTTTATTTCATGCAATTCTTGCTGAAATGTCTTGCTACACCTAAGTTTGGTTATGATTTTTGTAGACAAAAAATTGCAGCATGCAAGAAGGCCTTAGGGATGTGGCAGGGAGCGTGCTAGCTGCTGTTTCCTGTTCCAAGAGGATCCATTCAAAATGGCGGCAAGATTGCATTTTCATAAAATATCAGTTTGTTAAGGCCCAATTATGCATGCTGCCTCCCACAGATGATCTCCAAAAGCCCTACTCCAAATGCCTTGGTTCCACCACTTGATACACCATTAGACATATGCTAAATTTTCAGAAGTCAGCATCTGGATGGGCTTTGCTCCTGGTCTCAATGAAACAGGCATTCAAATCGAAGTTGCTGTGATGTTTTCTGAATCATTAGGCATTCTGTTAGGATACAGTAATTTTCACAGTGCTACACTAGAAGACATTGCAATGTGCTACATGCTTTTCTATGACAGGGAATTTGGAGATATTTTAAAGCTGAAATCATCACCAATTTTCTTTCTCGGTTTTCCCTGAAAACCTCAGCTTATCCTCAAACAACAGGCAACAGTTTGTGNCACAGTGTTTTTTGAACTCTGCATTTCCAAGGCAATTGTCTGTTAGAGCTGAATGTTTCAAAATTACCTCCAATATGTCACCATTGTGTGTTCCTTTACATATTCCAGGGAGGTAGGAAGAAACTCCAGGCACATGTTCCTTCTTTGACTGATGGGTAGGACCAGGCTAGTTTCCCTTCTTCCTGGGAGCCATGGGGTATAACCTCCCAATGGCCTTTCATCTTCTGACCATCATCAACTCGGCATTCCTGACATGACTCATGCACTCAGGTTTTAAATCCTATCTGTGAAGATTCTCAGTCCTTTAATATAATAGATGTTGGTTGATTTGTCTTCTGCTGCCATCATGCCCTTTCCCCTGCATATGATCTAGGCAACCATTTTTGCCCATCTTGATACATTTCAGGAGATGGGGAGGGAAGGAGGCACTTATAGGAATTGGTATAAGAAGATGACCTCAGCCTCCTCTGTCCCAGTATCCTGGCATATCACTTTTCCTTCTTTCTGAGGTGCATTTGTGTTTTCCACAATGACAGGGAGGAGGGTGGGAGCCACCACCTTTGGAATCCTGTAAGTGAGGTCACAGAACCTTAGTGCTGAGACTCCTAAAAATCCTATGTTCCCACCCCAGGCAATGATGGGAGGACATAGGATTGTGCCTTTAATTAATTCTAGTTTTTATTGACATGGAATCTAGATATGTTAACTTACTAAAATTTTTCTCTCATTTACTATATTTAAGCAGATGATAAGAGGACGACTTTGTGATGAGACCAAACCTGAAACTTTTAACCAGCTGTGGACTATAGAAGAACAGGTAATGCAAAAACTAGACTGGCAAATTAGATTTGTGTATATTATTTGGTATAATCCTATAATGTCTTTATAGTTATTATCCCCCATCTCCCCCAGAAATGAATAATGTGATCTCTTTTATAAAAGGTGAATATGCATTTAGGACTTTATTTGTGATTGGTTTAGAAAAAACTTGAACAATTACTCTTGAAATACCCACCAGAAGAAGTAGAATCTCGACGATGGCAGAAGATTGCTGATGAACTGGGAAACAGAACTGCAAAGCAGGTATGGGAGCTCTGTTCTTTTAGGGCCCTTATACAGATCAAGAGACAGGTTATGCACCTAGGTAGAACCGGCCTTGCTAGAAAAATGGTGATTGCTATCTCATCCATACTGGCTAAAGGGGGCCAATGACCTCTTTGCTGATCCTTTCCTTTCTGATTACCGCAGAATATATCAATTGTTCCTTTGAAATGCAGTTGGTATAGTAGTTACTTGAATAGATTTTTCAGGACTTTTTGAGGTTCGTGATTTCTGTTTATTAATTTGAAGCCAACAAAAGTATCTGGACAACTTTGATGCCATGGCATATAATCATACATTGCAATACAATTATACTGTGGGGAAAATCACAATAATGCTATGTTTTACCCTGCCCCCACAAACATTTATGACAAGAAGAATAGCAGCTGGTGGTAGTAAGGGAAAAATTGTACAGCTTGTGGATGAATCTCAGCTTTACTTTTACTATTCATTTTTAAGCACCAGAAATATTTGCCTGGTTTTGCAAAATACAGAATTGGTGTTGTCTTCTGTACAAATTGCCAACAAAACAAGTGAGATTGGGTAAAGTAGTAGTCAGGTACTGATAAGCAGGCAGATAAGTGCATCTGAGAAAAGACCTCCACCACATTGTCTTGATGAGAGAGTTCGGATGGAGAGTGAAGTGTCCTAATGAGTAGAGAAGAGAATTCAAAGGTGGAAGCATCCCCTAAGGGTACAGTCCTATCTATTGTGCCCTTGATGCTTGTAAGACTGAACTCAGAAGCTTATGCACATCCCAGTGCAGAGTTAAGGAAGTGACAGAGGCAATCCCCACCTCCCTGTTTTCCCCAATCTGCAGCTCTCCTGAAGGGGAAGAAAGAAGGCTGGAGCGTTATCAAGATAGTATGGTTCTTTCTTCTTTGTGGTCTCTATGCATTACACGCATGTGTGTAGAGCCCATTTGGGAAGATTCCAAAGGTGACTATTATTTGGCAGGAGCCCAACCCTTGGGCACACCCACATGCAGAGAGGGGTTCCCACCAAAACCTCAGTTTCTCTTTGACTGCCACTGTGAGCGCATCAGAGAGTTCTTTCTCTGCTTACTTACCTTATTTAGACATTGACTCTGCAACCCTCTTGAATCTTCTAGCTTCTTTGCTTTTCTTCTGTACTTCTACAAGCACACACACACAAAATATTACTTTTCCCAGTTTTCTCCAATTCTGTCTGGCTCCCCTGACCTCACATTCCTGCCTCCTGTTCAAGACAATGGCACTTGAGGCTCCATTTTGTGTTTGCGTGAAATTCTGCAGCAACTACCACCTACCGATGGTCACTCCCTGCACCTTTTTGTTGGGGGAAACCTATATTGTTGACTCCTGTTACCACTGCTAGGTGTTTATGAAACAGGCCAGGTAATATTGAGTCAACCTCCTTGAAGTGGAACTCCGGAGCAAGGCCCTCTATGCAGACAGCTCCTCCGCCAACCACCTTGGGAGTAGGAGTCTTTGTACCCTCAAAAGAACTTCCAACCACTACCCTGGAGAAAAGGCACTCTTCCAAGATAAAGTTAAAAAGGTGGCAGAGAAAAACAAATCTTCAAAAATGTCCAACCTGGCAAAAGGGCAAGATGGCAGCAAGTGAGTTAAAAAAACTCTGCAACATGCCACCCCCAAACAGCCTCCCATGTACCAAAGACACGATGCCAGAAGGACTGGGGCACCCCTCTCCAGTTTTGAGACTGGCACAGGAGCTCCTGATGCAGCGATTGTCACTGGCTCTGAGCACTTCATTGTCAGAAGGCAATTCAAGAACTATTACCTCCAATGTGTAACATTCGTTGTAGTTTACAAATTACTATTTTAATATTTGGAAATTATATTCATGCATACTTGTTTTGATTTTTTTCCCTCTAATCTATCCAGGTTGCCAGCAGAGTGCAAAAGTATTTCATAAAACTGACTAAAGCTGGTATTCCAGTTCCAGGCAGAACTCCAAACTTGTATTTGTACTCCAAAAAGGTAAACTGCTAGGAGACTTAACTTTTGATTGTGGCATTTAGATACATCTGTTTTCTTTTGCATCATCGTGTAGTCTATATGGCTTCTGTATCCTTAGATAACTAAATAAGAAGTTATATGTAACTTCTCATTTCAGCAAAAATGAATGCTTTTATATGTCAATAATGATATATTGTCAGAAAAGAATATTCTCTATGAATCTGAGTTGAAGGCATACTATATAAGAAAAATCTTTTACTCTGGATAATTGATCTCCCTTGACTATATGTGCTTTTACATATTTACATGTACAAACAGTGTTTTACACAGACACATGCAATGCCTTGTGATGTAAAAGGCAAGTAAATAAAAATAAATAGGCACATGTTGGTGCATAAGTATTCACCTCCGTAAGTATTTGGTAGGATGCTTGGATAGTAGTTACACTTGCTAGTCCTCTTGGGTAAGTCTCAGTCAGCTTTGTTCATCTGGATCCTACAGTGTTTGCCCATTCTGCTCAGCAAAAGTATTATTATTTATTATTATTATTATTATAACATTTCTATGCCGCCCCTTGCCGAAACCTCGGGGCGGCTTACAACATGATAAAATACATTGAAATACAATAGTACATAATAAATTACCATTAAATATAACAATACAAAAAATACATTGATTTACAAATACAAAATTAAAATTATCAGTATAAAATAAAAATATAGGAGGAGAAAGAG